TAGAACCCTAAAACATTCAGGAGACACCGAGTCACAGTGAAAAGTTCAGTAATGAAGCCTAAGAAAGCCCCTGCTGAATTCCAAACAAGAACATTTCGCTCTTGCCAAAGTTTAAGTGGATGATTTCAGTCGCACATATATATTTCATGAGGTTAATGGGCCCCATCAAACTGTGATTAGAGATTCTTCTGGGAGGCTTTTATGCCAGACTGACAGCTAGGAAGGCTGCAGCTTGATGTAGACGTCATTAACAGGTCACAGACAATAACTCTGCATTAGATATATTTCTTGTCACTGTTAATTGAATATATAAAGTCATGAAATTAACCCTTTGACCTGTAGCAACAGCCAAACAATGAGTGCATATTAAGTTTACATTGGATATTATATTCTCCTGAATCCATAAATAAGCCTGAGCATATGACCAGAATTTTTCAAAAAGGTTGAGTAAATGATTAAGTACACCTTACGTAACGCATGCTTCCATCACATTTATAAAACTTTTACTATGATCATGATAAGTTACGATGATACTGGCTTCTGAATGATCTTGAAAGCCCAAATCCCAGAGCCCTTCAACAAGTTAATTTAGGGTTCCTGCACATGTAAATAAATGTTGAAACGTTGTCGTGGTTTGAATAGGAAGTGGTTACTCTTGGGTATATATATTATGAAAATCATGCAAATAAATCCCAGAACCAATCACAAGAAAGTCAAAAAGCAGCTGTTTTACCACAGCATTGGCTTCCTCCTTGGAAGCTAACAAGTAACAACGGCTGGGCTATTGAACGCCAGTCATATATGTCTGGAGGTTCAAGCTAGGTTCAAGCTGCTGCTGATTTATTTATTTGCGACAGGTGTAGCTCCACTGTAATCTAGCTAACTAATGCTACAAAGCTGTCATAAAACATTCCACTATAGCTTCAAAAACAAAAGGGGTATTTTGGCTTATGTTGCATGTTTAATGCTAACTGCTAAGTATTGTGTGGATAGAGGAAGTGTATTTCAAACTCTTGATTCAGTGACCAATCAAAATGAATAATTTTAGATGGCAGTACCTCTGCTACCTCCTCTAATATTTACTCAAACAACTCAAACATACTGCACAGGGCTGCACTACACTTCATACCACAGGAAAAGTCATCATTTGGGACCGAGGTGTCAATCAAATGGTCAAAACAATAAAATCAGCTGTTTTTGAAGCAGGTTTCTTTTTTTTTTCACTTTTAGTGGACACTTAATGAGATTCTCAACTTTGATATGATATGCTTTATGCATTTTTATTATTTAAAGCCTTTTCCACAAGCTGGTCAATGGGTTTAGTAGCACACATTTAGTCCTCTGCATTGTCAATGTTGTTTATGCAACTAACTGCATTCATCACAACAGCAGGCTCAACAGCATGCACGGTCCTGACAAAAGCATCTTGAGATTTGGCCTCAATGATGCCAGAAATAGTAGCCACATCCAGCTTAGCAGACACTCTGGGGAAGAGCTTCTGCAGAGAGAAACTCAACATGTTTACGCTCACAAAGCTCTCACAGATCTTGAGTGACAGAGACTATAGAAGTGAATGTAATGGCTGTAATAAGCTCTCTGAGGACAGGGTGAAAAGGTTATGTAGAAACATAAAAACAAAATCTCATGGTTTTGAAAATATCTTCAACAAACTTGTATCATTTCAAGCCACTTTAACAATAAGAAATCAAAGAAGCTTGATTATGATACCTCTCTGTCTGGAAAAACAACATACCTACAGTACAAATGAAAGTGAATGATGAAAGTGAGTCTGTCACATTGAATTAACCACACAATGCACCTTTTTCTAATACTAAACAGAGAAGAGCCTAGCCTAGAAATAAAGATCAATATGAGCTGTAATAAAATACCTAAGATTTAGTTTAATGCATCCTAATGCAATTGAAATGCCATTAGATCTGAGAGCTGACAGTTCTATTGAATGATCACAGATTACAGAGTGAGGTCACTTATTAGGAAGAGAAAAACTTTGAGATGCACTGGAACAGCGAGACATGGTTGTTAAAGCAGTAAAATTCAAAATGCACAATACGGTATCTTACTTTTTTATGCAAAATGTAATTTAGTATACATACATTTTTAAAAACTTATTAAATAGAGAGTGGAGACTTAGTTCACTAAATTAGAGTGTGATCATGCAATTTTCTTTAGGAAACTAAATATCTGGCTTATTTGAGGACTGAGATGAACAACTTTCAAAAACCAATCTTCATAAAAAAACACTTCAGTTCAAGGTTTTATTGGGATATCAAATAACAGATGTACAGATTACATGTGACTTCTCTTGAACACAAGTGTGTAAACTAAAAGTAAAGTTACCAAAATCCATTTATTTCCTCTGTATTCATTTGGTTCAGACCTAACCCTTTGACCTTACCTTGCCCCATCATTTAAGAAAAGAGGAAGTAATACTGTTTCACAATCAATGACCTCATTACCTCTGTTTGTGGACAAAAGAGCTCTTCTTGTTTTTGATCAGTTTTTGTTTGTACACTGTGGGTGGGCTGCTAGATTGCTCTCGTATCGTGATGATGGATCATGTTCTACATTAAACAACGTACCTTTAAGCTCGCTGTCTTGAAAAAATCCAACATGCGAGTCCGCAACGATACTAACAGGTTGGCGTGTCATGAGACAATCCAGTGTTCTTGATCATGCAGTTAGGGCACACACAGTTTTGTGTGTCAGTTGTTAGTTTGAGGAAGTTACTGTTACAATACAGCAGGCCTACCTTTGCACAAGTGCTATCTGCTGTGTGTCATGATACAGTTCTTCTCTTCTAACCCTGCTTGCAGTGATGGAAAACAGAATAAAAGGGGTTGTTTTTTGCTCTACATTTGGCAGGTTGCTTTGGCGAAGAACGGCCTGAAGAGAAGGTTGTAGACACACACACAAAACCAAATGAGCAGGAGAAATCATACCTTTTCCTTACAGTGTCTCCACATTGAGTGCTTAGTTATTGGCATGAAGCCAACAGCTGGCACTGAGGTCATTAGACATATTCTTTTATTGACAATGGATTGTCAGTCCTGATTTGACCTTGGCCCCGTTGGTAGTTAGGACCCTATTCTACTAGCAAAATTACCAAATTATATTATTGTACTCATCGTCTTTCCCAGTAAACATGTTTGTGAGCAGAATTAAGTTGCCAGGTATCACGAGCAGGCCAACAGAAGGCAGGTAGGCTCCGTGTTGTTGTAAAAAGCAGGATGAGCATATTTTGTCACAACCCTGCACAGAGAAATGCTGTCTGCCTTACATTCTTAAATAGTAAGTGTAGCAGCATGTATTGGTTTGATCTATGATTGTGTGTGAGAATGAGGGCTGGCGGAAATAGCGAAAATGTCCCTTTAAAATACTTATTTTAGACACCATTCTGCTCTTGCTAGCTGACACCAAAACTGGACCTGCAGAAGGGCTTTAAGCTGTGTTTGTTTGGTTAAACTATGCATTTAAGGCTGGAGAAGGAGAAGACACTAAATGTTTTAACAGACATCAACCTGGCGTTGTAAATATGTGTGGGGTTTGTTCTTTTTAAGACCAACATTCAAATAAACCAGACCTGTTAAATGCTTGTTTTTCACCATCATGTTTGTGGATCTATTTTATATAGCCTAGCCTATACTGAAATAGACTTCCATTAAACAATATCTGCAGGAATCCGGCCTTGCTTCTTTGCATGTAAGCCTAGTCATGTTATCCAGATGTAGGCCTAATTATAAGATAAAGATAAGATAAGATATACTTTATTCATCCCAACAGGGAAATTTAGGTGTTCCAGCAGCCAGCATACATACAAACACACAACACAACACATATATACATACATACATATCCCACCCATACAAAAAAAACACATACAATAAGATGTACCTTATGGGCCTATAGAGAGATTCTTAAATATTATTTCATGTTCATATGAAGTTAAATGAGCAGATTGATATTGCATTAAAGTCCTATCTGCTGTATGTCCATTGCCCCTCCAACAAATCACTTTTCTGGTCAATGTAGTTTGGCTGTTTCTCCAATAGATGGCCTTGTTCTCGAGTAGATGAGCAACCCGGACTCAGCAGAGGTCTTGTCGTCTGTCTCAGTTCCGGCAGATTTTTAATGTTAAATAAAAATAATTTTACAGCAGAAAAAAAAAAGTATGACAACAATTCAAGGCTGTAATCCTCATCGTTTTCGCCTCCAGGTGAAAGTTATGACTTTTGTGTGCTCAAGAAATATCATTCTCTCTTCATGACATTGAAAATGATTTGATATTTAACCAAGCTATAAATAAGAGCTATAGGTGAAATAGGCTTACACGGGAAGGTATAGAAAAATGTTAGCCTACATCATATCCTAATATCTTACCAGTGTGACTCTGCAGGATGGTACAAACACTTTTTTTATGCTACTTGAAAGTCTTCGAGTTGTCCAGATATTTCATTGACTTTTTTTTTGGAAGTAAATACATATACAAAATGCAAAAGCTTTCCAACATGTTCTGTGATGATTTTCAATATATTTCTGTAATTTGAGTGCACTTAAAAAAAAAAAAGTTCGTTTTTTAGCCTACCTTGAATCTCAATCCAATTATTACCTGATCTTGAGCCCAAGTTTTGGCTGTTTTAACCTAACAACATTGTGGACTTTTTTGATAGTCAACATTTTCAAAATTCAGAAGCTTTTCCAAAAGTTTTAATATTAAGCTTTTTAATATATTTCTGATAATAATTATAAATAAAATGTATATTTGCACGTCTTCGTCAAGAATATTTTCCAAGACATACAAATATACCTGATTTATTTTATTTTATTACATGTTGAGAGACAGAACACGCTGCTGTAGGGCCATTGGAGAGACCGTCGTATACGTCGTGACGTCAGGTCAGCGGCGTGTGGGACCCCTCAGACTCCTCGCCCGCCCCCCCTGAGTCCGGAGAGACACACGTTATCAGGGAGGCAGCTGAAGGGCCAGTCATCTCCTAACATCTTTTCTGCGTCGACCACAATCCCCTTCATCCTTCCTGTATGGTGGATATTATTTTCAGCTCTTCTTTCTTGGGTGATATGGGGGATCATTCCAAAAGTAAGTCACATAAACTGCTCGGTGGACTTTTCAGTGACAGATTTGGTTGTCGTCGCAGTGCATTATGGACTGCAAGATCGATTGAGCAGTGCAGCGATTGCTCAAGTCATTTTCGTTATAATGTATTTATTTATGTGGATTTGCATTTTAAGGCGTTTTTTTTTTAAGTGACACCATTAAGTACGAATTCAGGAAAAGTCTTCGTTACATAACAACAAGACTTGTCCAGTCTGCAGATAAGAGGAGTCACTGCAAAACTAAGGCTATATTTGAATATGTAAAAGAAGGGACTCATGCTTCAGTAACCTATGATAGTGCATCTCTTTCCCGGCTGTGGTTACAAGGCTGCGGTTTCTTTGCAGAGAAGCCAGGAATCGCGATGTGTGTCGGATGTGGAAGTCAGATCCATGACCAGTACATACTGAGAGTCTCTCCCGACCTGGAGTGGCATGCAGCCTGCCTCAAGTGTGCGGAGTGCAGCCAGTACCTGGACGAGACCTGCACTTGTTTCGTACGGGACGGAAAAACTTATTGCAAACGAGACTATGTAAGGTATGAGTTTGGAAATGTTGTCCTTAAACTCTGAATCCTGTTTACAATCTTTATTTAAAAATATTAAGCCACATAGGCTGCTATCTGAACTGTATGGACTGTGGTAACTTTATTGAAGAGAAAAAATGTAGCCTAAATAAAGGAGCAGAAAAAGCAAAAATAACACTTTTGTAATTCCTGTGTAGGTTAAAAAAAAAAAAGACGAAAAAAGACATTTCTAGTTTTATATTCATTCAAAGAAAAGATTGAAATCAAGAACATTAAGAGCTGCTGACTCGTTGAATGTAGGCTACTCGGCCAGAAGTTTTCCTTGTCATCTGAGTCTTTCTTAATTTTCAATTTTCTTTTTTTTGCAGGCTGTTTGGAATAAAATGCGCAAAATGCAACCTGGGATTCAGCAGTAGTGATTTAGTGATGAGAGCTCGGGATAACGTGTACCACATCGAGTGTTTTCGGTGCTCGGTGTGCAGCCGGCAGCTGCTGCCGGGAGACGAGTTCTCCCTGCGGGAAGACGAGCTGCTGTGCCGGGCGGACCACAGCCTGCTGCTCGAGAGGAACTCTGCAGGAAGCCCCCTCAGCCCCGGACACATCCACCCCAACAGACCTCTACACCTGGCAGGTCCGTATTAACCTATTAGTAGAATCAGTACTATGATAGCCTAATTGTTATTATTATTATAGTCTATTATTATTACATTCTTTTTTTTTTTTTTTTTTAGTCGTAGGTCTATTGGAAACACCAGAAGCTTTAATAATTCGGTAGTTTCTAACTAGGCTAAATGAGGCCTTTCTTTTAAAAAAAAAAGAAGTAAACAATTTTTTAACAAATCACGCATAAAATAGCCTAAACATATATATATATATTTTTAAATGAAATTTGAACTCGCTTAAATAAATGATCGAAAAGTCAAAGCTTTGCCTTTTAAATTCTAGCCTATTTCATTTACCTCCAGATAATTTGTTTGGTGACTTTCGAGCTGAGTGTGTGTGTGTGTTTGTGTGTGAATGTCAGGTGTGTGTGTGTGTGTGTGTGTGTGTGTGTGTGTGTGTGTGCGCGCGCGCTGCCACCCTTCTTTCGTCTTAATTTCATAATTGATCTTATTAGCGCTAACCTGCTCTGTTTCTATTATCTGAATAATCTTGTAGGCCTATTTGAAGCGCGACTGTGTGTCTTGTGTGCATCCAATGTGTGGGTGTGTGAGTGTGTGTAGAGCTGTCATCCTGCCAACAGAAAGAGAATAGCAAATGTGTGAATAATGTTCAACTTGGTTTTAAAGCGCTTAATTCAGAGGACCTCACACAGCTCAAAAAGCCAGAGGACACAGGCCTGAGGGGGAGACACAGGCACGATTTTATATCTCATCTACGTTTTTTTTTTTAAATGTGTTTGAATTTAAAGAATTGATTTATATTTTAAGTCATCCCCTGCTGAAGCCTATTGCGTAAGGATTATAACAATCTATGAACGGACACACCTCAAATTGTAAAACGTGGCCTTAATAAACGTTTTCAACAACTTTACGCAGTTGATTATCTCTGGAACTTCGCCCTTAGGCCCATATTTCCATGGAATATGTCAAAACTATTTTTTGAAAGGAACAGGGCGACAAAAGCTTCTTAGAAAAATAGATAGCTTTATACTATTTAAATAGGCTTTTCCTTTTATTCTAAGCTTTTTATGAATTGATTTCGTTTCAATTGCAGCGTTTTAAAGTTGATTACAAATCCATCCAAACATTGCAGATGGACATAATGAGATTTTCTGAGGCCTCTGTGACACTCTCTCATAGCGCTTTCCCCTCTTCCCTCCTGCCCTCAGCAGACCCGGTATCGGTGCGGCAGGCCCCTCACCGGAACCACGTGCACAAGCAGTCTGAGAAGACGACGCGGGTCCGGACGGTGCTGAACGAGAAGCAGCTGCACACCCTGCGGACCTGCTACAACGCCAACCCGCGGCCGGACGCGCTCATGAAGGAGCAGCTGGTGGAGATGACCGGCCTGAGCCCCCGGGTCATCCGGGTCTGGTTCCAGAACAAACGCTGCAAAGACAAAAAAAAGTCGATCCTGATGAAGCAGCTCCAGCAGCAGCAGCACAGTGATAAGACTGTAAGCATCTTCGTAAGTTTGACCACTTGATTACTACCAACCATTCTTTTGTTATTTTTTATGGTTTGATGTCTTTGCTTTGTATTTATAATCATGATGGGAGGTCAATCAGGTTACCCAGTTTTTATCCATTTTAGTACTGGCTCAAACCTTTAAGAATAATTTAGTAGAAAAAACACAGGCAATATGAAAATAATTAATATATTTGTTTAAATAAAAGGCAATCATGTTTTAAGTCTATTTAACTTGTGTATGCCTTGGGATTGTTGTAGAGCTATAACCTTTTTTTTAAATCATTACTTGCCTACAATTTGACTCCTTTCTAGACTTGAACTTTTTACTTTACTTACACAAAGACTCTTTGAAACACTTCCAGTTGGCTACAGTGTTATTCTGTATTCAAACTTTATGTCAATGAATAATGAATCAACTGCTTTGGCTTGAGTTGCTTGACCTGAAAGCTAAAAACATCCTGTGCAAAAACACTTGGCCTGCATCTAAGCCCTGACTGTGTATATCTGCTCCTTGCTTAAGAGGAAACCTTTTGAGGGGAATAATGATGTCTCACTTTTTCTGGCTTTAGTAATTCATTTTGATTCCCCAAAAAAAAATCATTTATTTGCAAAAGGAATTTGATAAAGTGTGCCACAAGGACATATAGCCTATAGTTATCAGAGTCTTCGCTTGATTAGAAAAGTGGCTGCTTTGTGATGGATTTTTTATTTGGAGGAAACAGAGAACATGAACTATGGTAACACTTCACATGCAATATATACAAATTCTTCTTTCAGAACCTGCAGGGCCTCACGGGGACACCTTTGGTGGCGGGGAGTCCTATCCGACATGAGAGCACTGTGCAGGGGAACCCGGTGGAGGTTCAGACCTACCAGCCTCCATGGAAAGCTCTGAGTGAGTTCGCCCTGCAGAGCGACCTGGACCAGCCCGCCTTCCAACAACTGGTGTGTGTGATCTTTTTATCTATCTATCTATCTATCTCTCTCTCCATCTATCTATCTATCTATATATCTATCTACACAAACACACATATTGTATTTTATACATTGTGTTTTATACACATATTTGTATATTTCTGATATTAGGCATCTACAGGCTTACTCCAACAATATTTTGTTGTACTTGTACAATGACAATAAACATATCTTATCTTATCTTATCTTATCTTATCTTATTGAGAGCACATGCATTACAGAATTGTATCACAAAAAAGACAACGAGGTTGATCTACAATATTTTTTTCTACAGTCATCTTTCTAAAATAAAAGCCTCAAAATGACACACATTCTGATGAATTGTATTTCTGTCTGTTCAGGTATCTTTCTCTGAATCGGGATCTCTCGGGAACTCCTCGGGAAGCGACGTGACTTCTCTGTCCTCTCAGTTACCGGACACTCCCAACAGTATGGTACCCAGTCCGGTGGAGACGTGAAACGGGGCCTCTCAGACCTGCCGGGTCCTCTACTCCTGCAGGGACATTTGCAGCATGATCCCGGCCCCCTGCATGTGACCAGCTCATCACAAACTACGGACAGGAGAGAGCCTCCCCCCCTCCCCTCCCCCCCAACATGACATGGAAAAGAAGAAACCATCGAGTGACTCCCGAATTTTTTTTTCTTCTTTTTTTTTTGTGGAGCTTTCATTGACAAAAACTGAGCAGATCAATTTTTGCATGACTTGATGGAAAAAGATGTACAGAAGACTTCTCGATGGATATACTACAAAAAACCTTTCCCCTGTGAAACAAACCGGAGACATTTCCACGTCGAAACAGGACATTTCTGCGATTTCTTCATTGTGATCATATTGTGTCTAATTTTTTTGATACATTTATTGCGTTGTGGAGTCCAGTTGACTCTTTGTCTTAAGGTCAGAGCATGATAATCTGCAAACTATTCGTGTTGTAAATACTTTATCTAAAGGGAAGGAAGCAGGCTGTTTGAGCTTCTCGAACAAAAAGTAAATTATTGTTATATTATTTATTGTTAGGAAAGCGGTTCGTTAAGGGATTATTACCTGATAAAAAAATAAAAAGATGAATACACTAAGTGTCTTCATGACCAATGTTTTTGCAGGCGAGTTTCTATATTGTATTGTCGAAATAATTTAGTTTTATTGGACGATCCAACTGAATAGCAACATCTGTTCATCTTTCATGCAAACAACGTTATAGCATGGAACGTAAAGCGATAATGGTGGGGGGAAAGTGAAAGTCGTGGAGGAGCCATATCGTTCCTCCTCATGACAGCGGAGTGACACACACAGCTTCTGCATGCCGATCTTAAGAACAGATTCAAAGATTCGTTTGTCGACTTTTACCTAAATCAAGTTGTCCTGCCTGCGCTGCAGCCTGCAGGCTCTGTCGTCTTATCGGCAGCCTCCATCTTCAGGGTTTCCCCCTCGGTTATGTAGCAGGAATCGGCCGATGGTCATTTACTATCTCGGGGGCAAAAATCTGCTGTAAATTGTGATCAGTCCAGTTTCTCTGGTTGAGTCACAGGCCGGTCTAGACAGCTCAGAGGGATCGGCGACCTCTTATCTAGTCCTGGCATCACCTGCAAGCGATACACTGACTGAAGCCACAACAAGCTAAACTAAACTAAACACCCCCCTCATTATACACACACACACGCGCGCGCGCGCGCGCACGCACACACACACACACACACACACACACACACACCAAACCACTTCGTTTGTGAGGGGAGCAGGGATCAGCTCGTAAAGGGTCACTTCTCCTTCTTGGTTTATTTTTCTTCAGTGTATTGCGTTATTGCGCGCGGGTCAGCCGCAATGACAGCTCAGACTAAATGAGCTCTACACTGTGTGCAGGTCTAAACAAGGCGCTGTGGATGACCACATCTGTGCATCATACCTGCTCGTTAGGCAAAAAAAGAAATGTTTGCATTTTTGCATTTTTTTTAAGTGCACAAATAAAAAAAAAAACAGTTTGCCCTGTATCTAAACAAAATTATGATGAAGGTATTTTCATAATTGAGCGTTTTCATTGAAAAAAAAATCGTTTAAATGAACTGACAGCGACTTAATCGGAAGTTTGAATGACAAAAGGCAGACAATAGATTTGTAATTGAGCTATTTCAAATAAGATAAGTAAACAATGTGAGCAGATTAAGATAACAGAGATAAGATAAGAATAACAATGGCGTTCACAGAGCAGAATGCAGGCCTCTTGACTCTCACAGCAGAAAATCATTATGTAGCCATATATGTTTTCAAAACAGAACATTTGCGTTGATATTGAAGCCTATATAACTCATCCCCTTTGGGCTCAAACAGATTACATTCAAATTCACTTAAAAATCAGGCTATATTAATTACGTTTAAAAAACTGTCCGAGTTGTGAAACAAAAATGCAAAGCGCTGTCTTGCGGTACAATGTGTTTATTAAAGCCTTTCAGAATTAAATCTTGGTGGGAGTTATAACACTGTGGTAAAATAATATTGAATAAAAATAATAATAATAATGGTATAAAAAACTTTAAAGCATGCTTTTTCTTTATTAGGATAGGCCTACTTCAGGAAAAAAAGAAAAGAACACAAATTAAAACATAGCCCACAGTGCCTAAATAAGCCAATGATGCAGAAAACCTTAACTGAGAAACTATAATGTTTATTTAATCTATTTTCATTTTCCATTTTATTTTTTTTCTGTTTAAGTGTCTATTCGTCTGTGTTCTCACACAGATCAGAGATCGCGTCCTCTGACCGTCAGAAAGTGACGCCTGAGTATCTGTCGACCATATGATCAGTGGGCGTTTCCCCTCAATACGTTAAGCAAAAACCAAAATAAACACCGCTGACACCCCTTAACCCCCCACCCCCCCTCACGCAGCTCCGTCTACGCTATCACTCATTGGATGACACGTTTCAATACGAGACCGTCCCGATTTCAACGACGCATGTTTTAGCCCAGCATATAGTAGCCCAAACTGAAATGAATATATACTGTAATATTTATTTCACACATTTTGTACCGGAACACTTTGACAGTATCGTTTCCCTCACATTATGTCTGATTAACTCCGAGCTGTGTCTGCATGTGTCAAGTTGCCACAATGCAACCAGACGCCGTCAGGGAATGACACCCTATCATTAATGATTAAGAGGACTAGTCCATTTAAAGGTGTGATGTAATTCTCTAATTGGTGCAGGGGTGCACGTAATTAGATCACCCAGCGCCGCCGAGCAGCACGAGTCACCAAACGGCCACGAACAGACACACATGGAGCAGAAATACAGGCCTGATTTTGAATACACGTAGATGCAAAGTGTTCGCGGTTTATGAAGAAAGTTTCCCACACGTTGCAACTTAATAGGGGATCACCCTCCCCCGTATATGTCCATGAATTTTCTAGGCTTTATGCCAGTCCAAATTATTAACTTAAAAGCAAAACAACCTCCTTTAATATTTTGATTTATTTAGAGAGTAGCCTATACTCGACTTGCAGGCATTCTTTTTCCGGCCTGACCCATCGATTACAACTCAATCCTTCATTGGTGAACTTGACTCTAATGCCTCATGTGGTTCTGTGGATTTGAAGCTACAAGAAAGGGTTATGTGCCCCTCCCGTTCAGTATCGTAATAGAGAGCAAACACATTGATTTGCCTGTTTATTAAAAACAAACAGCTCAAATGAATGCACTGAAATCTTATCCTACATTCAGGTTTTGTGAAAACTGATTTCGAAAAGTGCAGTGTCACATTTTCTCTAATTGTATCATCGTGAGAAGTGTTTGTAATATTTTCCACTCTATTTTCTTCATTCAAAGAAAGCAGACTAAATATTAGGAACATTTGTCTGTGTAAGTGGATAGGCTGATTATAGAAGTGTTAGTGTTGACATTTTTGTCATTTTCCCTCTTAAAAATAACTAATCTATGAAAGCGATGCAAAGTTACTTTAAAGAAGGCCTTGATTTATATTTTTTCTATATGCAGGTCACAAGAAATTTGAGGTGATTCTCTGACAGATTTTTGAGGAACCAATGACAGTATGGCAAATTGCAGTCCTTATAACAGGGATGACATGGAATAAAAAGAGAGGAGAAATCTAAGGTATTTTATCCATAATGGGAATTTTAAATTAACAAGCCAACTCAAACTAATATATGGCTGACACATTTGAACCACCCTGAACCTCAAAGCCTTAATGCTGGTCATTTAAGCAAGCTTAGAGCTAATAGAGCATTTATTTTTCATAGTTAATTTAGTTAATGTGTTTTTATTTTTATACAAAAGTTCAAGCCTTTAGCAGAATCCATTTCTTATTACACTATACGCCATATGTAACACCATTTACACTCTATCTTGAAGAACGACATATAACTTTCATTTAATTTCATTTTTATCAGTCAGTGAAATCTTAGATTTTAACTTTTTATATAAATTAACAGTTCCCAGAGATGTATTATTTGTTTTTATTATTTTAGGATTCAGCACAAAAAAAATCCCCAAACATGTAAAACCATCTGCACATGTGACAGAACACATTATATTTAATTGAACATCCATTGATGCAATGTTGTCTGCAGAGACTAAGACTTTGTGCATTTCTATTTAAAAGAATTAGAAAGATAAACAGACAGATAGCAACATGTTTATCATTCTTTATTATAAACCTGTCTGTTTTCCTTTTCTAAACTCTCTTTTTGCATTAGAAGAAATAGCCCTCAGACCATTAAATCAGTGTCACTAACAAACATCGGGAGAGAAATAAATGTGTAGGATTTCTGTGGAGGCTCTGTGAAAGTTTTGCCACTTGGTTCCACTGTGACCTTGTTCCTCCTGTGGGGGCCACCAGCAGAGGAACTGCCGGGACCAACTTTAAGTCCAGAAGTCTCCGGGGAAGCTTTTCTGACAGGATGACTGAAGGCAGAGTCTGAACTGTGAGATTTTTTTTTTCTGCAGGAGGGAAGAAACAGTGAGGGGACGGAGGGGGGGGAAGTGTCGCTCTTGAGTGGAGACACAACAGTGAGGGAGCTGAGGGTCTCAATAGCTTATGTTAAATTGAATCGCACATCATGAAATGGAAATGAAAAATAAAGCTGTATGTAGGCTTCAGCATGTCCCTGCATGCTCATGCTCAAGGCCGTGACAAATACAGTTATTGGTGACTCATTTCACAAAATAAGCTGCAACTTATTTTTATACTTTTCATTATCCACACCTCTGCTTCAACATTACTTGTGATGCTATGTTTGCATGTGTTTTCCGCACCTCTTGATGTTTGATATAGGGAATTTAAAGAGCAATTTATCCCAGATGGCCAATTTAACATTTGATGACAAGAATTGAATCTTCTCTACTCTGAGGTTACACTGATCATGAAAGGGCACAGTCAACATCTTTCTGAGCTACTTACAAACTATTGATCCTGAATGTTGTCTTTATGGGAAACTGACACAATGAGTAAATATCCAAACAGCATCCTTTAAATGTTTAAAAGCAAGGTGCATTAAGAACTAAATATTGATTTTCTTTGTAAACAGATTTTCTCTTAATTCATTTGTGGTTGTGTTGACATTTTTTTTATTATTATTTAACGAATGCCAAACACAAAGAGAAATCTGAATTTAACAAAAGAGCAGGTAAAAGGCTTTACTCACAACCCACAAACTCACATAGAACAACCCCCCTTAAAAAGGACCCCCCCGCCAACACACACAAACACCTTTATAAACCACACCCTCAAACATAAAATACAGAGAATAACAGACCCCAAAAAATAAAAATAAACAAAACAAACAAAACACCTTCAAATAAACAACCTTTAAAAAGACAACGACAACCTCATAAAAGAACACCCCCTAAAAACACTAACACAAAAGAATAACACCCCATTAAAATGACAAACACACTCAAAAAGGTAATAAAAAAAACAACTATAGAAAAAGAAAAACAGCCTAAAGAAGAATAACATCTTTAAAATATAAAAAAAGTGTGTACACTTTTTGTGTACTGTTTAGCATCTTCTGGATTTGCCAAAATAACTTTTGCACAGGTAAAGTGATTACAACTCAGTATATGTTCATTAAATGCATGACAGTAAAACATGGCCTGTTATCTTTCTGTGCTGTAGGTGAACCTTCAGAGAGGGAATTGCAACAGTGGCAACTTGTCTGCTATTATTAAAAGGGCTGAGTGTGTATCAAAGTATCTACGTTCTCATTGGAGCAGGTTAGAGTTTCTAAGCATGTTGCTCCCAGTGCATGCATGCATGTATGTGTGTGTGTGTGTGTGTGTTTGTGTGTGTGTTCAGGGTTGTGGAGCAGACTTCAGCCTCACCTGGATAACACACATAGAGCCACAATCAGCCTCTCTGGTCCTTGCTGCTGAGACGATGTCAGAGCGCCGTAAATCACAAAGCCCCACCCACGCGTAAATCTGCTGCGAAAACAACACACCAACGCCCATTAGCAGAGGAGAGGAAGGCTGGAGCCGCCCCACTCCACAATGACTATCTATAAAACACAATGAGGGTTCACCTGTATACCCCCCACCCCAATCCCCATCCCCTCCTTTGACAGCACCAAACTGTCATTACATGAAGGAGGAAGACAAACACGTGTCACAGGAAACAAACAATGAGGCATTGAGTGTGACTCACTTAAGATGAAAAGGGGCATCGAAAGGTTTAAGCTGGAGACAGTGTGGCGTTCCTCAGGGTCACATCGGAGTCAGTTCAGAAGTTCAAGAATGTTTTCAGGAAGTTGTTGCGTTTTAGATTTAGTGCCAAATGTCAATTAACCCTCTGACTCAAGCGTTTGGATGGAACTGAGACAAACTTTAATTATAGCATACAAAGACGACCTGAGCTTCAAATGCTGCTGATTTACTGCTCCTGCCAGGCAAAGACACTGTGAGTCTATAGAGTCAAACACAAGGAGAGAAAATGACTTCCAGTTTTTATTGATAAACTGTCATCATTGATGGGTCATTGTTGTGTACTTCCTGTTAAAAAAAAGATAAAGGTTAGATTTATTTCTTATTATACATTTAATTTTTTTTATTTTTTATTATTTGTCTGTTATATTTAGACAGTCAAATTTGCATAACAATGTCATGTAGGCTACATTTATCTCCCACTATCTTGATATAATTACACAAAATCTACCTGGTAAGTTCATTAATGACTGTGAGGATCAACAAACTCAACAATGTACTAAACTTGTATTTCCAAGTCACTTCCCTTTATTTCTTCTCCTGTGGTCATTTCCACAGATTCCATTCTCCCACTCTGTTCTCCCCCTTTGTAAGATTCCTGTGTGGGAGAATTGGGAATAATTTGGGCATGTTAATTATCCTGATCATTTCCTTTATAAATTAAATATATTAATGTATATTTTTATTTCACCAATCACAACCTATCTGTGAATAGATTTCACTGACCTGACACAAAAATAAAAATGTTTTTAGAATGACACATGTGAGCTCAAAGTGTAGGCAAAATAAGTTAACTCACAGGATGTATTTTACTTTTATTTATAGGAGCTATGGACAGTGGAAATGTAATGGAGGTTAGGTTTCACTTTGTGTCTATCAGAATAAACAATGGTCAACAATAAATACATCCCACAATATTCAGAAGTCCACTGGTTACATTTGCAGCATACATTTTCAATTTAGTTTTCAATATAGGGGAAAGAAAATCTTCCATTTAACTTTTATATATGGTGTTATAGAAGCTCAAACCACAGAAATAATGTGAAAAGGTCACCAATACTCAGGATGCACAAAGAGCAGCAC